CACCTTGCAAGAAGCACAAGGGGGTTTTCCCCTGATATTTACTGTGGGAACCTGACCGCGCTGCTTGAGTTAAATTTCATAATTTTGTGAGGGCTCCCCTATGACTCGGTCCCCTGGAGTTTTTAACTTTCCTGTGTTGTCTGCACTGAGTCTCCAGCAACTCCTCCATTTCAGTTCAGGTTTTCCTATCCTGATACTGGTCCCCAGGGCACTTTCTGCTGGCAAGTTTCTGCTCCCGAAAGCCATGACCCCCTGTATTCTCCTGTCTGTCTCCCCAATCTTGGGGGGCAGTGGTTTGCCCTGTGTCCTTCCATGTCTAGCAGATCCAATAAGAGTTGTTAATTTTTCAGTCTGCTCAGCTCTCCAGTTGGTAGAGTGGGGTGGAAACTCCCAAGCTCCTTACAAACAGACCTGGAAACCAGAGAGAGACTGCTTCCGATTTTTAAGAGAGAAAATACACTTTTTAAACTTTAATTTGAATACAGCAGTATTCCTGGGAGAATATTCCAACATTTCTTGAGATACTCGGTGTTGCCAATCCAGGGTTGGAGTTGTCAAGTTTCAAGACTTGGGTAAGAAAAGAGTGACCTATAGAAAAGGAAGAAATTCTAGAGGAGGGAGAGAGGGAAGATTGAGAAGGGAGGGGAATACACAGGGAAAGTATATGAACTCCCCACAAAATAGGATCTCTACAAGAATTTGAGTTTTTATTCTCTAAAAATATTTTTACACTAAAAAATGTATTTATTTATTTTTGAGAGAGAGAGAGAGAGGGAGAGAGAGAGAGAGAGTGAGCATGAGTAAGAGAGGGGCGGAGAGAGAGGAGACACAGAATCTGAAGCAGGCTCCAGGCTCCGAGCCTGACACAGGGCTCAGGCTCGTGAACTGCAAGATCATGATCTGAGCCAAAGTCAGACCCTTACCAATTAAGCCACCCAGGCACCCCTAAAAATTTTTTTAATTGAGACACAGTTGACATATAACATTGTACTGGTTTTAGACGTGCAACATAAGGATTTGATATATGTATATATTGTGAAATGATCAGCACAGTAAGTCTAATTAACATCCATCTTGTTACATACATAGTTATTAAGTGTGTGTTAGGAGATCTTTCAAGATCTCCTCTCATAGCAACTGTCAAATATACAATGTTGCTAATATAGGCATTATGCTGTACATTACATCCCTAGAACTTGTTTATCTTCTGTGGGGAAGTTTGTACCTTCTGATCAGTTTCACCCATTTCACCCACCTTCCCACCTGCCTCTGGGCAACTACCAATTTATTCTCTGTATCTTTCAGTTCATTTTTCAAAATATTCCAGGTAAAAGGAGATCACATAGTATTTGTCTTTCTCTGACCAATTTCACTTAGCATAGTGCCCTCAAGGTCTATCTATGTTGCAGGATTTCCTACCTTTCCTTGGCTGAATAATCCATTCCATTAATCTGTCAGGGCACACTTAGATTGTTTCCACCCCTTGACTATTATAAATAATGCTGCAATCAACACAGAGGTATCTTTTTGAAGTAGTGTTTTTGTTTATTTCAGATAAATATCCAGAAGTGGGGCTGTGGGATGGTGTGGGAGTTCTATTTCCATTTATTTATTTATTTATTTATTTATTTATTTATTTATTTATTTATTTATTTAGAGAGAAAGAAGGAGAGCATGAGCAGGCGAAAAGGGCAGAGAGAGAGAGAGAGAGAGAGAGAGAGAGAGAGAGAGAGAGAGAATTCCAAGCAGGCTCCACACTCAGCATGGAGTCAGATGGGAGTGGGTGGAGGGGGCCTTGATGTCATGACCCTGGGATCATGACCTGGGCCAAAATCAAGATTCGGACACTCAACAGACTGAGCCACCCAGGCACCCCATTTTTAATTTTTTGAGCTTCCCTCTTGCTGCTTCTGCTGCATAACTTACATTATGACCCACAGTACAAAAGGGTTTCCTTTTCTCCACAGCCTTGCCAACACTTGTTATTTTTTGTCTTTTTGATAATAGTCATTCTAACAGGTGTAAGGTAGTATCTCCTTATGGTTTTGGCTTGCATTTCCCTGGTGTTTTGTAATGCTGAGCACCTCTTCATGTGCCTGTTGGCCACTTGTATGTCTTCCTTGGGAAAATGTACATGCAGTTTCTCTGCCTAGTTTTAAATCAGATTGCTTTCTTCCCCCAGTGAGTTGCATGAGTTCCTTACATATTTTGGATATTAACCCCTTACCAGATATGCAAATAGTTTCTCCCATTCGGTAGGTTGCCTTTTCGTTTTTGTTGGTTTCCTTTGCTGTACAGGTTTTTTGATATAATCCCACTTGTTTATTTTTGCTTTGGTTGCCTTGTGTTTTTTTTTTTTTTTTAATTTTAGTTTTCAAAATTTTTTTGATGTTTTTAAAATTTTTATCATTATTTTTTTTTTACATTTGAGAGAGAGAAAGAGAGCGAGCAGGGGAGGGGCAGAGAGATGGAGACAGAATCCGAAGCAGGCTCCAGGCTCTGAGCTGTCAGCATGGAGCCCGACGCAGAGTTGGAACTCACAAGCAGTGAGATTGTGACCGGAGGCAAAGTCAGATGCTTAACTGACTGAGCCACCCAGGCGCCCCTTGTTGCCTTGTTATTATTCTTTTGTCTGCTCGTGCCCCATCTTGGCTGACTCTTCCTTTGTCCTAAAGGCAGGGCACTAGCTGCTTTATTAGCAAAGTAAGATCCATAACACAAATTCAGCAGAAGAATCACGAGGAAAACTGCTTCAGTTTAGGGTTAGAACCACCGTAGTAGTGCTCCTTTTCAGTTTCAACAGAACCCACGTTAATATCATGACAGATATTTAGAAGGATAAGATGACGGTGGGAGATTCCTCCCATATAAACCCAACCTCCCCAAGATTTGGAATCTCAGTTAGAAAAAGGAGATTTCAAAAAACCGGTTTCCCAAAATATTTGCATTCCTAGGTGACAGAGACTGCCTTATTCTCTTCTTTTTTTCTAGGCTCTGACCCCTTGGGAAGAAAAGTATCTTATTTGGAGACTGTTAGTCCTACAGTCCCAAAGGTCCTTGCTCTCTTCTTTGATGGGCTCTTAGAAGCCTTTGGGTTACTTGAATCTTCAAATTAACCCATGTTGTGAGATGTGTAATCAATCAGGGAGATTTTTCAGCGAAGATGCCTTTATGGGAATTGGTTTATCCTTTTTTCCTTTGTCATGCAGCACAATTCAACAGTTCCATTCAGACCTCGCCTAACATACACTCTCACATACGCAGTTCCAAATCAGCCATTTGCCATTTAGCAAGTGTTTTTTTTTTTTTTAATTTTTTTTTCAACGTTTTTATTTATTTTTGGGACAGAGAGAGACAGAGCATGAACGGGGGAGGGGCAGAGAGAGAGGGAGACACAGAATCGGAAACAGGCTCCAGGCTCCGAGCCATCAGCCCAGAGCCCGACGCGGGGCTCGAACTCACAGACCGTGAGATCGTGACCTGGCTGAAGTCGGACGCTTAACCGACTGTGCCACCCAGGCGCCCCAGCAAGTGTTTTGTCCTATCCTTTGATTTGCTTCAGTTACATTTAAAATAGGCTCTACGCTTGCTCAGAAGGTGTGACCAAGTTTCAAGCTCAGCCCCCCTTGGCCTGCTCACAAGGGAAGTTTTGCCGTAAAAGATGAATTGCAAAGTAATAGCTGGGCAGAGCCAAAATAGTCAATGCAATTACCCTTTGGTGCATTTGGGGAGGCTAATGATATTTAAATCAATTTGAGTGAAAAAGAAAAATAAATGTCAAACCAAATACCAAAGTGTGAGTAACCTACTGCGGGATTACTAGAATTACAAGCAGTTCCCTGTGCTCTAAGATTGCTCTGAGAACCATGTCAATATGCTAGTCCCATGGTAATTAAAAAAATCTAAAAAGCCAATACTTATTTTGTCAAAGGCACAAATGTAAATCCAACTTGGACTATGAAAAAATTAACACAAAGTTCTGATTTTGTTCAAACTGTGACAGCAATTATTCTTAAAATAATATTTCTATAAAGAACTTTTTTCTAAAATTCAAAATACTAGACAATCATAATGGAAAGGACTTGAGAAACTATCTAATTCCTTTATTTTAGAGATTTGGAAGCTGTGGCTCATTAAATGGCCAGCCTATGCCTCTTAACTAGCCAATGATATTTAACTTTGCCTCTCTTGATGTCTTTGTCTTAGATATTGTCCCAATTCTCTCTCCTCCATTCTGTTGTAAAAGAGCACGTCCCTCAAAAATTACTGTCAATTTTGGAGAAGGAGGAAGTCTTAAATTTTCTGTATCGTTATGTAAATAAATGTTGAATAAAAGTCCCCTTGGATTAATCACAAAAATGAGTCAACTGAATTCTGCAGAGACATCCAGGCCATAGCATCCGGCCTTTCAGGGAGGCCGGATTGGCAGAAGGACTCCTGTAGGAACTTGCTAAGGGTTCACAAAATATGCAAAAAGACAATCCAACATTGGTGGCCTTAAATACAAGAATACCACAGCCTATAGTATAGGAAGAAAACAAACCAAGAAAAAATAGTATCTACCGTCCTTTAAATAAGAAAGTCAGACCCATACCAGAGAACAGAGATGGAAGAAATTGGAATCCAAAGACAGGAAAATGAGGAAGGACACCAGAAAAATGGATAAGGGAGGTGACATCAAAGATGGCTGGATATTGTCAACAGGCTGGGAGTGAATCAGGCACCGGATCCCAAACTGTCTGAGTCAATGGAGTGGGCCAGCTGGTAAACCTTTTAACCTTTAAGACTACATAGGGAGTAATAGAAATATCTTGGTCTCAAAGTGGAATCCCACCTCTGGCCCTGATTTGTCTTGCTCATTGTATTTGTGTAATATTTATGAACACACTGTGTGCCAGACATAGCTTTAGGTACTAGGCGATAAGGCAATGAATAAGACAGACATAGTGCTTGTTTTCGCCGTCTATCAAGGAGACAGATACCAAACAAATTACTACACAGACAATTAGTTGTGTTTGTGGCGAAAGTCGTGAAAGGAAAACACAGCATACAATGAACATTTATTAAAGGGGCACCTCACTTTGCTTGAAGACAAGGGGGAAATTGTGGTATCGGTTTTTAAAATGGAAACAAAGATCGAGTGGCGGTTGGCTAATTTGCATTTTGCATCTATAGCTGCACCAGCTGTTACTGTTTGGTGATTCAGAGAACATGTAGACCTGACTGTGTGCCCTGGGACCCAGAGATGAGGTTGCCAGAGGTTCCTCAGGGGAAGCCAGAGAACATAGGAGAAGGTGAGCATTTGATGCTTTTGGACAACAAGCAAAGATGAGGCTCCTTCTCACTTCCACTTACAGGCTGTGAGGAAATAGGTTGCTGAATTGGAATCAGGCTGCAATTCATCATGCAGTCAGTGTCTGTCTGACCTCAGTGTTCCCGTTCTGATTCCTGACCTGCATTTTGGTTTCTCTGGTACTGAGGACTGCTGTGCACCCCAGTGTCCTAATTCTCAGATCTGAGAACCCAGTTTCTCCAGACTGTTCCTAGACTTCTGGATATTGCTCACTTGTGTGTTGGATCTTTGCTAGAAAGGATCTGGACTGGACAACGTCTGGGGCTCTTATGAGGTAATAAGCATGTCTTGCTTATCACAAACATGTAGAGTGACCCTTCAGGCTTTGACTTATTTTTGGATTCACGTTCCCATGGTCAACCCTATAGCTCTGCACAATTCCCGACGATGCCCACACCTGTAAGATCAAATGCTAAAGCACCAGCCCTGGCCACCTGAACTGGATTCCTTAGGACCATGACTATGTATGACTTGGCCCATAGTCCTCCAGCCCTGCCCCTAGAATGAGGTCCTGACGAGGCCCCTGCTATGGGTAAAGGCTGGAACATCAGAACTGGTTGACCAGAGTCCACAGGATGCATGTGGAACCATTTCTGTGGTGTCGAATTTCCCTAAAATGTTCCTTGACTCTGAGATACCTATGTATGCAGGCGAGGGTGTTGAAAGACTGAGGCATTCCATCGGATGGTAAGCACAGCAACAGACATCTGAGGCACATGGTCGTCCATATGCTTGCACCGCCTTAAGAGAAATACAGAATGAGGGATGGTATCTCCACACTGTGTGAAACACTGTTTACAACATATCAGATCCTACGTGGAGTGTTGTTCACCATTTTGAGCACGGCATTGAAAAAGGGATTTAGACAGACTGGAAAATGTAATCAGATTAGCAAAAGGGCCCAAGATTATCCCTGCGAACGTAGCTGAGGCTGAAGGAAGTAGGAGGTTGGCCTGAAGGAGAGGAAATAGAGCTGCTTTTCCATGTTAAAAGGCCTTGAACTGTCACGAGGGTGAGCAGAAAAGCAAAAGGAAGACAGATCCTCCAATCAATACAGGCCAAGTTTTCTAATAGTCTAGTTTGACTAGATCTTTGCAGAGATGGGAGCTTCTGCAAGGGGAAGAGCCTCCCCATTGCTGCAGGTGTTCGAGCTCAGAAGGGGCAGTGGTGGGATGGAGTAGAGAGGGTCCAGGCAATGGATGGGACCTTGGATTAGACGATCTTCAAGACTCCTAGTAGCCCTGGGATTCTGATTCTTGACTCTTCTGGTCCGACCCAACAAACTGCCACTCAAACCCTGATTCCAATGTTTTCCTGGGCGTTCCTGACAATCTAGCCAAGGGAGTTTGCCTCTAGAGAAAGTCATGGGCTCTAGAGATACCACGAGCTGAGAGTACAGTGTGAGGGCTGCCCAGGCTCCGGGATGTGCAGTCCAGCCTCCTCTGCTGATGGACCCTGGTCTCCAGGGCCCACACTGAACACCAGAGACTCGTTTGTCATTGGTCCTTTGGATTAAACCCAAATGGACACACACTTTAGGTGTTATTTTTTTTTTTCTTGTATAGGTGTTATTTCTAAATGAGGACTTGTATTCTGTAGAGACTGACACTCTACCCTGTTGAAGTACCTGTCTCCAGCTGAGAAGAGCCACTGTCTACTCTCTTGAAGCGGAAAATATATTTTCTTAAAGGTCATGAGAAGTGGCCTCACATGTGCTGTGCTTCAAATGTGTGTGCAAATTACTGAATCTCTTTAGGCTCACTTTCCTCATCTATAAAATGTTTATTTATTTTCATAGTGGACCCATATTTTTTTTTCCCCCAGGGGTCAGGTTCTGAAATGAGCAAGTAAGCAGAGAACGAAGATAGTTAGGTGTGTCCTTGATGAATTCACTTGAAGCCTGTACTGCATGTCAGAGACCTTTCTCCAAAGGTGATCAAGATAGGCAAAGTCACTGCTTTAATGGGGCCAGCTATTTGGCAGAGGGGGACAGTCCTCACCCTTCTGTGAACATTAAGCATTACTCGCAGACTTAGGAGTAAGAGGGAATGATGAGGAAAGGCCCCTCCAACAGCACCAACAGCACAGCATTTCAGCGGGGATCTGAGTGATAAGAAGGAGCCTCCACGTGAAGATTAAAGGAAAGAGCATCCAGGCAGAGGGGACAGCCGGGATAAAGCTCCTAAGGAGAGAATGAGCCAGAGTAAAGCAGGCTAAGGGGAGGTTGTCCAAACTAAAGCCGGGCGGTTAAGGTGGGGAATTACATCATTCCGGGCTCATTTGTTTTCCAAGTGTGCCAGGAGGGTTCTGAGCAGGGGCAGGATGTGACCGGTACCCTTTTTCAAGCTCTCTCTGGCAGCTGCATGGAGAGGGATGGCAGCGTGGGAGGAAGGAAACACGAAGACCGGGGAGGAAATTTGTAGCAGTGAAGGCAGGAGATGCTGGGAGCTCGGACTTGGGGCGGTGGCGGGGATGGGGGGGTAGCGACAGATGAGTTTATGCTTTGGAGGGCGAGTTGATGGGGGTAACTGAGGGGTTGGATGGGGTGTGGAAGAAAGAAAGGAATCAAGAATAAGTCAAAGATAACCATTATTTGCCACTAAATCCAACGCAGTTGTTTTTTCCTCCAGTGTCCATAATGTTTCTTTAATGGAACACCTGGTGAAGTAGTTGTCTTCTAATTGGGGGCCATATTGTATGGGGGGAAATTTGTATCTCCAAACACTAGAATCCCTCACAGCCTAGGGAGCTGCTCACACTCTGAGAGGCCCCCAGGACATGAGACCAGTGATTTCATGCTTCCTTCATTTCACGCACTGTGGGGCACATGGGCCGTTAAGTGGGATGGCAGGGGTCCCACGGTATCCATGGTATGTAGATTTATTTAAGTTTTCTTTCAGTCTCTCTCTTTCTCTCATTTTAAATTAAGATCAGTTAAATGTGCCTGATGAATATACAGTGACTCCACCATAATGAGGATCACACCTTATGTTCGATCATGTCTTCATTAGGACTCTGAAATCCTTGCTTGGCACATATGTGTTCCTTTCCTTCTTTCCTCACCCTCACCCACCTCTTCCCACCTGCCCCAACCACACTTACCTATTTAAGCATTCGTTGTCTCAGAAATCTGCTCTCAGGTGTTTAATCTTACACAATAATTCACATCAGATCATTAATGAGTGTCCATGATCCTTTCCAAGGTAAAATAAGTAAACCAATAAATCTGTATTTTAACAAATACCTTCTGAAAACACCATGTTTCAATCAAAAGTGGAATTCTAGTAGCGGAAATGTAGGCGTTGTGGGATTGCTGGAGAAGAGGCTTGTGGGTAAGGGGCCTTTCTGTACCTACGTCTCACCCCACAGGAGGCGCCAACGACCACGCTGGCATGGATACAGCAGACATAATAGTCCCCTCAGTCTCTGAGAGCCACGGCCCCCTCTGCCTGGGAGTGCAGAGGAAATGCCCTGGAAAGGAAGGGAGCTGAGTGATGGTTTCTTAGGAGAAATAAAGCCCGGGTGGGAGTGGACGTTTGAGCAGAGCAGGGTAAGTAAGCCGGGCAGACCCGAGGCCCCCAGTGACTAGGCTGAGCCTGTGCGAAGGTCTAGGCTTCCAGCTAACCCCACTGCTACTCTCAGTTAAAACTCAGGCTGACACTTGCATATTTTCTTTCACCATCCTTCCATCCTCACCCAACCCTTGGAGAGAAAAAGCTATTCTTCTGCTTCTGGTGTTAACTCGCTGAGAAGTCGTGCTGTCCGTTCATCTCCTCGTGTGTAGGATGGGACCAACACTCTCGTCCTACTATGCTAGTTGCAAGGATTACATGAAATTCCACACCGTGCTGGCCCAATAGGGGAAGCCAATGGAAGTCAAAGACCCTTTGACTAATTTCTAACAGTTTATTCATTCAATGGCTATTTATTGAGCACGTACTATGTGCTGGGCACTGCTCTGAGTACTACAGAGGTAGCTGTGAACAAGATAAAGTTCCTATCCTTGAAGGGCTGGCATGTTAGCGAGAAGAAAGAGGCAAGGACCAGGTAAGGAAATAAATAACGTAAGCTCAGATTGTCAATGAAGATAATCAAATAGGGCAATGGGGTAGGGGGTCGCAGAAGGGCTTTCTGGCGTGATGAAATCTGCACTCGGATCCATTCATTTCTAGTGCAGAAAGAGTTCCCTCTTGTCTCAGCCTTGTGATTTACTATACCCATTAGCACATTCAAATAAAACTTTGATTAAAATGGAAGCTTAGAGAATATTTTAATTAACTGAATTTTCTAGTCCAAAGAATGTTAACTCTCAAGTACTCTTTTTTTTTTTCTTACATTGTTGTAGAAGGGTGTTTATAAATACTAATGTGTTCGGTTCATGTTCCTGATGGAGCAAATATAGTAGAAAGAAGGGCTAATGAACTAAAAGCCTCTTGTAAGATCTGAAGTCAATTACTGGGATCCTACTTTAGTGCTTCAGATACTGATGTTGTTACAAAGAAAGTTTGAGCCAAATTGGATACTGATTCCAGTTATAACCTAGAAGTGAAGGGGTACCTAAGTGGTTCAGTTGGTTAAGTATCTGACTCTTGATTTCGGCTCAGGTCATGATCTCACACTTGTGAGATTGAGCCCCACATCAGGCCCTGCACTGACAGTGTGGAGCCTGCTTGGGATTCTCTCTCTCTCCCTCTCTCTCTGCCCCTTTCCACACCTGTGAACACACACTCTCTCTCAAAGTAAATAAATAAACATTTAAAAATGAAATGAAATAAAACAAAACGAATCAGTGTTACCTACTTTGTATCTAATAAGCAAGTTATAGGGGCAATCGTGAAATATCTGTGTTCTCCTGGTCCCCTACTTTTGAGTTCTTCATCTTTCTCTTGGTCTTCTTGACTTTATCTCCTCAAGCATCCAGTGAGTTAATATTCTGTTTTGGTTGTCAAATCCATGGTCAAAGAGGCATTTGTGCATAGATTAGAAGAAGTGATGACACTAGCTATTGTATTAGTGTCCCCTTGTTGCTACAATGAAGAACCACAAACTTAGTGGCTTGAAACAATATCAATGTACTCTATTACAGGTGTGGAAGTCAGAAATCTGATATGGGTTGTATGTGGCTAAAGTCAAGGTGCTGGCCAGACTCAGGCTGTGTCCCTATGGAGGCTGGGGGGAGACTTTGCTTCCTTGCTTTTTCCAGGTTCTGAAGCCTGCCGGCATCCCCTGGCCCATGACCCTGCCCTCCATTTTCACAGGCAGCAAGATGGCATCTGCAAATCTTTGACTGAATCTTTCATGGTCCCATCTCCTCCTGTGGTTCTGACCCTGCCTCTTGCCTCCTACCTCTAGCACCCCAGATGATTACACTGGGTTTCCCGGCTAATCCAGGGTCACCATCTCATCTCAAGAGGCTTAATTGAATTTTTGTCCCTTTTCCATGTGAGGTAGCATTGTTATAGGTTCCATTAAGGTGTGGACATCTTGGGTGGTGGAAGTGGTTTCAGGGGCATTATTATTAATAACAATTATTAATTATTAATAATTGATAATAATTATGCCATATGTTATTATATTATAATAATTAATAATTGATTATTATTATATCATATATTATTATGTTATAATAATAATTATTATATCATATATTATTGTGTTATAATAATTAATAATTATTATATCATATATTATATTATAATAATTAATAATTAGATCATATATCATTATGTTATAATAATTAATAATTATTATATCATATATTATATTATTATATTATAATAACTAATAAAATTTATTATTATTATTAACAAATCAGGAGGGATTTGTTAACAGAGGGCAGAGCCAGGATTCATATTCCCATATTTCAGTATTTAAAACCAGTAGAGTTTCCCATGAGTGGTAAAGTGATAAATGTAGTAATTAATACTCCAGAATGGACTCCTTACCAGATCATGTTCCAGACCATGGGTCCCGATTTGGGATTGGAAATCTTAGTGGCTGGATCCAAGTTGCATTTCCATAGCAGGCTTATCAGAAGGCTCAGTAGACGCTGAAGTCCCCAGGGGACACATAGGGTTAAACCCAGGACCAAGCAGAGTTAAGGTGTTTCTGGGGTGACCATAGGGTTCTCTGCATAGTTTTACAAAGGGTACCAGAAGTTCCACTTCTGTCTTTGATCCCTTAGATCCTTGGAGCCCTAGGGAGGCCACCACTTTATAGAGCATTGTGACTGAATTACTACCAGGGAACCATGTGCGGCAGCTGGCTTGCTGAAGACATTGAGCCAAGACAAAGCAGCCCTCCAGTTTCTAGGAAACCTGGATTTTCTCTGTGTCTACGGCCAGTGTAGACCAGCCTGCCAGCTCTGCATCCTCAGGCAGAGGACCCGGAAAAAGGAGCCACCTGCCACGCTGGCATGTTTCATGTGCATGTGCGTGTGTGAAATGACCTTACTTTAGGGATGAAAAAAATACCTCTATGTGCACTTTTAGATAAGAATGGCCCTGTGGTTAGTTATTCAGGCCAAAGTCTCTTCTCTCTTTTTCTTATATAATCAAATCAAATACAGTTTAATCCTGAAACTAGGGAAGAGGCAGTAGGCTAGAAAACTCTTTGGCCAGCTCTCAACTTTGGGAAGAGCTTAAAAAAAAATTCCAGTCTTTCCATTCATTCAAGAATCTCAAGTGTCCTACTTGAATATGCAGCTTTTCATAGATTATAGTGTGCCAGTTCTTTGAAAACATTTGCTTGTCCCCCACCTCCAACGTATTCATTCATAGATTTATTATTGTTTTAATTGATTAATGGACCCTCGTATGTTTACAACGGCTTGAGGTCATAGAGCAGTTTCTGGTCTTATTCAGCTTACGATTTAGAAGGGGAGACCAAAGTGGCTTTGGGTTATAGAACTCTGGGCTCTTGAAGTGAGACTCTTTGATGTTTCTGCCACAGAGGGAAAACTCTGTGAGACAGGATGGTATCTGGCAGTGTAGACACCCAAACGTTTATTGGCCGAAGAATCATAAGACCATTGTTTGGGCCCCAGGGTAGCCCATTGACAAGACATGAGCCCAGGCGGCTCTCTTGGTGATGAAATTTGCTGTAGTGTGGGCTGGAGGCAAGAACAGTTTCTGGATTCGAGATCTTCCCCGGTATCTCATAACACCCTCGGGACCTCAGCCTCCCACCTGGGAGACAAGAGACTCAGATGATGAGCCAGGTTTTTCGTGGTCATTGAGGGAGTCACAGACTAACTCATCCCATGCTGGTAGGAGACAAGCGGATGTAATCTAGAAAATGCTGGGATTGATTGAGAAATACAACCTAGGCCTTGCACAGAGAACAATTTAAGGAGAAATTAGAATATAATACATGTGACTTTTAAAACTTGAAAGAGAACGTAAGCTCATTTTCTCTTGAATCATAAAGTGTTTCAGGGCCTGAGAACTGCTCCCATCCGTTTCTTTTTTTTTTTTTTAATGTTTTATTTATTTTTAAGACAGAGACAGAGCACGAGTGGGGACGGGGCAGAGAGAGAGGGAGACACAGAATCGGAAGCAGGCTCCAGGCTCTGAGCTGTCAGCACAGAGCCCAACACGGGGCTCACACTCACGAACTGTGAGATCATGACCTGAGCCGAAGTCAGACGCTCAACCGACTGAGCCACCCAGGCGCCCTGCTCCCATCCATTTCTGAAAGACCCAGCACCAAGCGCTCCACTTGGTTAAGCCTTTTCCTCCCATGTATAGAACCTAGATCTTAACAGCATTTTCATTATCATCCAAGCCTCAGTGAAGGAAAAACCGAAGCGGCATTTCCAAGTTGACACAGCTCGTTAAATGGAAAGCCAGGAAGAAAGCTCAATGCTGCCTCGTCTCAGGCCCTTTTGTACCTTGTGTCCGTGTGTAACCTTTGTTATGCTGTGCCGTGGGCCTGGCACTGTTCTGGATGCTAAAGATAGAGCAGCGGGCAAGAGCTAGGGAGCTCTCATCTTGGGGGGAAGACAGAACACAAAGGAACGAGAGCACTCCAGGTGGGCACAGGTAGTATGAAGAAAGCAAATTACAAGAAGGTGATACTATAAATCAAAGGGCCAGGCAGGAGTGGGTGGTTTCGACTTGACATCGTCAAAGGCCTCTCTCTGAGTAGATGCTCTTTAGCTGTTCACCGGTGGATTCGTAGACTTACTCAGAAGCCACTTAGGAAACACTGCCGTCCAACACTGGCAGGAGCTGTGCTGTTCTAACCTGTGGAATGTTGTGATTTTTCTAGACACCGTCTGAGCTGAGGCCCGCGTGATGAGAAGTTGCCAACCGCTTGGTTACTCGGGAAAGAGTCGTCCACGCAGAGGGAACAGCGGCCAGAGCAGGGGCCCAGAGGTGAGCACAGTGAAGAGACAAAGTCTGGTGTGGCTGCGGTTCGGGGACCAAGAGAGAGAGTGACACGTGGTGAGGTCAGAAAGGCCGGCAGCGTCCAGAACTGCAGAGGCCTGCAAGCTATGGCAAGGAGGTTGGATTTTATTCTGTTATGCAGTCTAGGGATTTTGGAAGGCCTTGAACAGGGTAGTCACAGGATCCACTGTGTGTTTTTAAAAGCTTGCTCTGGCCGTTGTGTGGATGGTGGATGGGAAGGGGCGATGTGGAACCGGGACGTTGGAGGGAGAGTGCGGGCAGAGAGGAGGGTGGCGTGGACCAGGGAGGCAGAAACGGAGATGCAGATACGTGAAAGCTTTAGGACGTTCGTTGGAGGTGGTGCCGACAGGACCTGCCAACCGAACGTGAAGGAAAGGAGAACTCAAGGAAGCCAGCAACTGTCGAGGCTTGGGGGACAAACAGTCGCTTTGGTGGGGACTGCCAGGTCCGGCAGCTACAGCAACTTTAGGCGGCCCATTAGTCATCTATTTCTTAACATTCTCTCATTTAGCCTAACGTTTGCCTCTATTTGTCTGAATTAAATGAATTTCCGATGTCATGCTCTAGAAACTCTGCTCAGCTTCCTGCCTGTGACTCGTGGACAGGTATTGGTCATTCCTTAATAGCAGCAATGATGTAATAGACTCAGGAAGCTGTGCCCATTTCCCACTGTGAGATGCCCCTCCTGGTCTCTGGTTGTGCCCGGCTTTTCTCTCCCTGTATAGCCCACCATGGGGCATCTATCATGCAGGTGGAGAGGAAGCAAGAGGGCCAGATAGACCAAGAAGACCCACAGGCGGAGAGACAGCTGGGTCATGGACGCCAGCACGTGACCCGCAGGGACCTGGATTGGGTGGTCAGAATTTGGCCTTTTTTCTATTTATGTTGAAGCAAACAGTGCATAGTCAAAGAAAAGAGACTATATGGGATGAGATGATTAGTGAGGAGAAACTTGAAGTGAGGGAAGAAAGCCAGCAGCTGAATGCCTTTCGGGAAAGAGGGGAGGGGATCAGGAGTCCCTGCGCATCCAGTGGGGAGAACCCAGAGCCGAGATCGTTGCCTCGAGGACCAGCAATTGGGAGAACTTGCGTCGATGGACGATACAGGTTAGGACTGTGAAGAGATGTGGGCTTCCCAGGTAGGCAGGTAGCAGAGACCTGGGCTGGAGGCGGAGGGTAGATTTCAAGGAGTGAACAAAGCAGCCCAGCTTTGTTCATCTGTAGTTTTTTCGGCGCCAACTAGAGCAGTCTCTAAAGGCAACTGATCCGAATGCACAAGACCGTATCTGTGGTTTTTCCTCGCTGGTGTTCTTAGTATCATCACAAAGCTGAAAGTTAGCACCTACTCATTAATTTCAATTTGTGAAATGGTAGAGAGCATGGGCAGTGGGGTTAGGGAGCCTGGGTTTGAATCCTGACACTGCCAGCTACAAGCTGTGAATCTGGCCATGTTACTTAAATCCCCTGTGTCTCATTTACCTCATCTTTAAAGTGGGGCAGGGATGGCCCTTGCCACATAGGCTGTTGTCAGGATAAAAGGAGTTAATACGTGTTGAGCCCTTGAAGTAATTCCTGGCACATATTGAGCCCATTGAAATACCATTTCCTAGAGGAAAAGGAACAGAGGAGAAAACGGGGCAATACACTGTAGCCTCTTAGCCGCCCCGCCCCCCTCCGCCTCCTTGTGAGGTGAGGACGAAGCCACGGTGAACCACAGGTGACTTTCATCACGTCATTTTGGCATTCTGGGCCTCCTGCCCAAAGTGGAATACCCACAGCTTTGTCTCTCTGCTACGTTGGAGGAAGGGGAGGGTGGCTACGTTAGTCATTTACACAGCATGTGCAAAATACAACAGCGGTGGCACCCTGTCCACCTGTGCCTCCCAAAAGCATGGCTAAGCCGTTCACCAATCCTGAGACCTAGGCAGGTGGTGGGATCCCTTGAAACGCCTCTGAGAAATAGCCAGAGGCTTTATGGATTGAGAGCTTTGGGAAGAAATCCTGCAGGAGAAACCTCCCATGCCTGACTTTTCCCACTCTTCCCTTCAGTTTATGCCATGTCTCTCCTGAGGAAACAAACTTTAAAGATTATTTTTACTATAATAAGCCAAATTATCAATTCACGAAGGAAAGCAGTCCCTTTCTAATTAGCAACTGTTCACTCCCTCAGCCAAGTAATTGATATCTGATTATTTTCGCCTGGTGGGTGTTGATGGAGAGGGAGTGATTTCCCCTTAGGCTGGACCAGCATCGTGAGCAGCTTCCAGATGGTGGCTTAAGAAACAAAAAAGAACGTACAGGGTAGGCTCACTGGGAGAACGTGTCCCCAGACGAGCCCACCTGAGAAAACGGGAACGGGCCAGACATCCCCACTGGTTCAGAGCAGAGACCATCCCTGGTCACCTGTCAGTCTTCTTGCCGGGAGTCTGTATCTCCACATTAACTTCTATGACTTCGAAAAACTCTCCAGGTCTAGATCCAGAACCCACTGAAGCTACTTTCCCCTTGGCAAAAAGAAACGAGGTAGTGATTTCTTTCCCCTCCTGATAGCAGAAGTAATGACAGTAACAATGAGCGTTGCTTAAAAAGCCTATCTTTAATGATTGACTGAGTGCTTCATTTCATTCAGTTTCATGACCTTGATAGTTAAATAGTTACTTAATGAAGGATTTGTAAGTGCTGTTTCTTCATATTCAGGAAGCTCGGGGGAAAGTATCCTTCAGATGCCCATCTCCAGAGTGAAGTGGAGATAATCTCTGAACAGCCCTTTGGATTATTAGGAAGTCTAATCACAGTCCAGGGACATGGGATTTCAGCACAAGCCTTGAACAAAGCAGTGGATTATGCAGCTAATTATCATCTCACGTGCAAATAAATTCAAGGCGTTCAAATCAGCTTCTGTTCAAAATTGCTGTTTGTTTAACTTAAATAATACCATAAGACTTATTGATTTAAACATCCTATTTTCTAGAAAAGCCTCCGTAGAAATAAAGCCCCGCTTGTCAAGTGAATACCGAGACTAAGAAACATCAAAGGCACACCTTGCCATATGAGATATTTTCTTGGATGAAAAACACATTTGTAGTTTTTTAGAGCTGAAAGGTGATGACCTTTTGGTCCAACCCAGAGAGGTTAAGACCCTGTGCGCCCTAGATCACACAGTTAGTTATGGGCAGTCCCAGAACACGAAAACAAGTTTTCTGGACTGTGGATTCAGGGTTCTTTCTATTTTACTAAGCTGCCTCCTAGGGAACACATTGGAATCACTTGAGTTTAAAAAGTCAACAGAAATATTCAACTTGCTTTACACTTGAGATAGGCATCAAGGAAGAAAAGCCTCTGCCGCTCAGAACCTCACCCCAGATTCCAGGATGGAGCCACTGTTTCAGAATGGGGAGAGGGGGCAGGCAGCCATTTTGGCAAGTCTGGGAGACAAGCTGGCAATGGCTCTAGAAGGTCCTAGTGACCATGAGGGTTTCAGGAAATACTGCTGGCCTTTGACCCACAGATTACAGGAACTGAGTGACAATGTGGAGACCATTCCTTTGGTAGAGCACAAGAGAGGGGAGATGTGTTCTCTTCACGAGGGGAAATCCATAGAAATGTGAGCTCTGTGGGTGTTTTTGTTTAACCACATAGCAAATATTGACTGAGTATTTACTATGTAGAATGCATTGCATCTTTTCATGAAAAGTACTATAGAAGGAGGTAGGGGTGGCTACAGGCAGGGATTTGAGAATAGGGATTGTGGTTAGTATAAAATTCACTTTCCTTAGGGTTCCAGGTCAGGTGCAACACTGGACTCAAAATGAAAATAGGACCACGGCACCTGGTCTTGATGTAACTAAGAGACAAGAGTCTCTTTCCTTTATGTTTTCAATTATATATAAATCACTGAAAAGGAGGAGGAAGGAGCGTGTCATCTATTGCTTAGAATTCCCAGCAACTTCTGGAAATATTCTGCATTCTGTGTGTACTAGACTCAGAGTAAATATTTGTTGAGCAATGATAATGGATTGGTGAACGAATGATTAGCGACATCGTACTTATTTTGACCCTTTGAGGAATTGTGTTGGGTTGGATAATTTTTCCAGTTAACTAAGACTTCTTTCTATAAATGTGAAAATGTGTTTGAACCATGCCATGTGGACATATTTTTAGTGCATCGGTCATGTTTCTTCTTCAGTATATTTTCCTGAACATAATTTTAACTCTTCTGGGAAGTAGCATTAGTTATTTTGCTGTGTGCAACTGTGACTTCGGGGGTCTTGAAATGTGAGCTGTTGGGACCCACCACCACGACCACCACTAGATAGTGATTTTGTTACTCCATCGTTCTTCTGTCTCCTTCCTTCCCTTACTCATCATCATGCATGTGTGCCTACCATGAACCACACATACTTTCGGTACCTGGAAACAACAGTGAACAAGACAGAGGTGGTTGCTTCCCTTACAGAGCTTCCTGTCTAATCTGGAATTCAAACAAACCAAGCAAATACTTCAAGTCCTGGGCAAACTCTATGAAGATAACTGCTAATATAGAGAATATTAGAGAAGTGGGATTCCTACAGTGGGGTGACCTGTGAAGGTCTTGCTGCAGAGGTGGACGATAAGCCATGTCCTGAAGGAGGAGGAAAGCCAACCACGGGGAGAACCGCCATGGGGTCGTTCCTTGCAGCAACCCTTTCCACCCACCTCTCCCTCACTCTCATTGCTGAAGTCTGCCAGAAAATACCAGAAACACATGTTTGTTAAATCATTAATCTCATGTTCACAAAAAACAGACATGTTGCTCTTAAGGGAATTTCAGTCCTTTCTTAGATGAAAATATATAATTTTTAGGACAGGTATTTTATTCACTCTGCGTTTCGCTTTGGAAAGGCATGCAAAGCACTGAGCACCAGGGGGAATAAGAAATGAATAATACATGATCCCCTCTACGTTAGGAATTGTATTAGTCAAGAAAAG